TTCTTACGCGGATTAAATAAAGAAATTATAATATCTAAAGAAGGAACGTTTGAACAACTTGAGAGTCGAGCAATTGACGCGGAAAAAGAACTCGAAACTATAAACATGATAAGACGAGTCGTACTCGCAGAGAATACAACAGAGAGGCGAGCTACTCGATGCATAGATGCCGTAGAGATCATATGTCAGTATTGTCATAAAAAAGGTCATATAGCTGATCGGTGCAGGAAGATCCCAAAACAGCAAGGAAATGTTGAACGTATAAATTCCAATAATCTAATTCAATATAAAAAAAACGTAGAACATGTAAATCAAAATTATTCAACTCCAATATAATTTCCAGTAAGACAAAATTTTCCACAAAATACAACAAATAAATTTTTCCCACAAAATTCTCGACAAACGTATAATAAATCTTTTCAAAATAATCAAAATACTAGTTCTGGACAAGAAATGTTCCGCAATAATCAACCCTTAATTTTTCAAAATCAATTAAACCCAATAATTTGTCAATATTGTAAAAAATTTGGACATTCAATTGAAGAATGTAGGAAACGTGCTTATAATAATAATCAGCGAATTACACAAAGTCAGGGAAACAGATATATTCCCGACAGGAAAGGGGCAGCTTCGGGAATGCAAAATACATGCCCCAGTCGAGTAATTTCAACGGAACCAATTTCCAATTCCGAACAGTAAATCTAGCAAATATAGACGATACCAACAATCCAATTATCAAGTAAGGATTTTAAGAAAAATTCAAAGTTTCTAGTTGACAGTGGATCAGGGCCTAATATAATTAAACAAAGTTGTTTAAAAAGAGACATTTGGGTAAATGAAAATAAAATTCTTAAGCTAAGTGGTATAACAGCGCATCATGTGTCCACCTTAGGGCTGGCACTGATAGATATCTTAGGATGTCCAGTTGCTTTCCATTTAGTGGAAGATAATTTTCCAATACCTCAAAATGGGATCTTAGGATCAGACTTTTTTAAACAATTCCAAGTCAAAGTCAATTATCAAAAAAATCAAATAGAATGGGAAAATATAATTATTCCTTTTGAGCCCAAAGAAGATCCAGAAGAAACTTTAATAATTCCAAGTAGATCTATTTCTCAAATTCATATCAATATTATTAATTCTGAATTAAAGGAAGGATATGTTCCGCAATTGATTGTGACAGAAGGCATTTACTTAGGTAATGCTCTAGTCTCAGTACAAAACGGAAAAGCATACTTAAGAGTAATAAATACACACGAAAAAGATCATAAAATATATGTGCCAAACATCGCAATTCAAGAATTTGAAACAAAAGGTCAAGATGAATTAAATTTGGAAATACAAGCAGAAACAAACTCAAACTTACAAGCACGATCAAATACAAACTCGTGTTATCTCATTAAAGAACAAGATCGAAAAAACCAAATAATTAAATTACTACACCTAAATCATTTAAATAAAGAAGAACGAGAACATGTAAAAAATCTAATTGAAAAAAGTACAGATTGTTTTCATTTACCAGGAGAAATGTTAGAGCATACAAATGCAGTACAACATCGTATATTAACCACTGATGAAGCTCCAATAAATACAAAACAATATCGATTTCCAGAAATTCACAAAGAAGAGATAAATAAACAAGTAAATGAACTTTTAGAAAATAAAATTATAAAACCATCTGATTCTCCATATAATACCCCAGTATGGATAGTTCCTAAAAAGACGGATGTAAGCGGAAATAAACGATGGCGAATGGTATTGGACTTTCGAAAATTAAATAATAAAACGATAGGCGACGCATATCCACTTCCAAATATAACTGAAATTCTCGATCAATTAGGTGGAGCAAAATATTTTTCAGTCTTTGATCTAGCTTCAAGTTTTCACCAGATTCGCATGCATCCAGAAGATAGTCATAAAACAGCCTTTTCGACTCCAAATGGGCATTATGAATTCGACAGAATGCCTTTCGGATTAAAAAATGCACCTGCAACCTTTCAGAGACTAATGGATTTAATACTTAGCGGAATACAAGGAAACGAAATTTTCGTATATTTAGATGATATAGTATTATATTCAAGCTCTTTAACTGAACATGCTATAAAATTTGAAAAATTAATTAATAAATTACGTAATGCAAATTTAAAATTACAGCCAGAAAAATGTGAATTTTTAAGAAAAGAAGGAACTTATTTGGGACATATAATTGGAAAGGATGGTGTTCGCCCAGATCCAATAAAAGTTGAGGCTGTAAAAAATTTTCCAACCCCTAAAAATGAAAAGAACATTAAACAATTTCTTGGATTAGCAGGATATTATCGAAGATTTATTGAAGGATTTTCAAAAATAACCAAACCTCTAACTAATTTATTAAAAAAAGAAAATGGATTTAATTGGGGAGATAAAGAACAAAATTCATTTGAAATACTAAAAGATGCATTATGTAAAGAACCAGTATTACAATATCCTGATTTTACTAAACCTTTTCTCTTAACAACAGATGCTTCTGGAACAGCAATTGGAGCAATTTTAAGTCAAGGTCAAATTGGTAAAGACCGTTCGATTAATTATGCTTCACGAGTATTGAATGATGCTGAAAAAAATTATTCAACAATTAAAAAAGAATTATTGGCAATAGTTTATGCTGTACAACATTTCCGACCTTATCTTTATGGTAGAAAATTTATTTTAATAACCGATCATAAACCATTAACTTGGCTTCATAATGTGAAAGATCCTACTTCACGACTTGTTCGGTGGAGAATTAAATTAGCAGAATATGATTATGAAATAATATATAAACCTAGAAAAATAAACTTAAATGCTGATGCTCTTTCAAGAAATCCTTCTATACCAATATATCCTATACAATCCACATATGACGAAATAGAAGAATGCTCCGAAGATGAAGAAACAATAGAAAGAAACAATAACCCAAAACCTTTAGAAATGTCACCGAGAAGTGGCAACATGATCGAAGAACCAGAACCTGAAGTTATAACAAAAAAGACTTGATATACAGAGAAGATGGAAGGAGAAAGTATCCCTTTTACAAGAAAGGAACTACAAGAACCATTGACCAAAGAACCATTT